CACGGTGTTATAGTGGTAATCCTTACCATGTATATCGGGTTAGATGGCTGTATAACTCGTGAGGTGTGATCTTGGAGCTGGAGAGGCGTGTGGCGAGGTGCGGCCCGTGGATCACGTGGGCGCGCCTGCGCAGGCAGAGGTCGGTCCCCGGGATGGGGGGGGGGGGGTTCTGGAGTGATAGGGGCCCCCCGGCATGTTGGCCTCTATGGCAGCACCCCTGCCGAAGGTTGTACTAGAGCCACGGCAGTCTCATCTGGTATTCTTAATGCTCGCGCTTTGCTAACGCCAAATATGATCTAAGCTCTATTGCTGTAACGCTGCGTCACGAATTTGATCGAGTCCCAACATGTTTTGCAATGCTCGCTTTTTGGTAGTCTTTGACTCGGCGTCAGTTTTATTATCTGGCTCTAACCGGTAAAAACCAGCCGGCAGAAACCGTTTCAGCCAGTTGCTGCGAACCTTGGTTCATATGTGCAAGGGGTAGCTGTGAGCGATGTGAAGAGAGGAAGCTCTTCCCAAGACCAGCATGCTCAAACGTGCGATCATGGATATGTTGTTACAGGATCCTCATGGGGTCAACGATAAGAAAACGCAAGATGTACGAGGAATTCTTGAGCAAGGTGTCCATTCTGGGTAAGAAGTCGACGGCCATTGGCTGCTGTGGACCATGGCATCATCGGTAGATGATTTTGTATGCTGACTGCATGGGAGCACGTCGCTTGGTACGCCCAATGGACCGGGTACTGTACAGGAGAACGGTTGTTCGCTGGTCGCCTGCTACTCATGTTTCGAAATCATACGCCAGCTGTTTAGATCCACGTTCTTATCTGGCAGCAGTCCAGAGTTCAGCTGAGGACACATTGGAAGGTTTTGTGTGGGCTGAACAACAGCTCCTTTGTGTTTCCCTCGGTGACTTCGCCCGTCGCCGTGTCAACATTGGGGCTTTTGCGGAGACAGTGGAGGCTAATGCCCTCCTCAAATTGTGTTTCAGGAGATAAAAGGGTTTTCCTGTTTGTTTACCAGACATTTTAAGCTGAGTTAAACAAAACAAAGCGCCATATTTGCCTCATGTGCTACCTCTTAGCCCGGCCGTTTGGCTGGTGAAACTCGTGCTCCGTGCAAAAGGACCCGCCGGCAACCTAAGATGGCAGGCTTTCCAGAAACTTAGTCGACGCAAGCACGTTCGGATGGGAAAAAATACGACTCAAGCGCTACCCAACGCCACTATCAATTTTGTGAGGATTTGCGGTGATGCACCACATTTCATCCAGCCGATGGTTGGTTGGCCGGGAATTGGGTGGATGTTTTGTGGGACGTGTTGGATTCCCGTGTGGTCTGCAATTCATTACGGGAACTGGAACAAATAGGAGCTTGTCCAACTGGCCGTCGCCGGCTGACGGTGATGTGCCGCCTCTCGTCGCAGAGAACCTGGACAAGTGGGAGCGGCTGACGGTGGTGTTGTGTGTCCCTTCCTCACAGAGAACCTGGACAATGGGAGCGGCTGACGGTGGCCGACAGTCTGGAGCCGGTCTCCTTCGCCGACGGCGAGACGGTCGTCAAGCAGGGCGAGCCGGGCGACGACTTCTTCATCATCCTGGAGGGCAAGGCGGCCGTGCTGCAGCAACGCTCCGAGGGCGAGGAGCCGGTGGAGGTCGGCCAGCTCAGCCCCAGCGACTACTTCGGTGAGGGCGAGCGCCGCCGCGGCTGGACCGGCACTCCGACCGACCCCGCCGCACGGCGGCGCGCGCGGTGCCGAGGGAGGCGGGTCCGCGCTGCTGTCACGTGACGCGTCCCCGGGGCGCTGCGCATCGCGAGCGTGCAGTGTCGCGCAGGAGGGACAGCCGGGCCGGCCGCCCGGCCCCGTCCGTTCCGCACGTTGATGGGCGCCCAGGTCACGTCGCCGTCCGCTCAGACTGCGGTAGTCAGCGCGCCGGACCACCGGTCTGCGCTCGCAGTTCGTCTGGTCCTGACCAGCGGTTCAGGCGGCGTGCAGAGCCCGATGTGTCACAGGCTGTACCAGGGCAGTCGGCGCCCGCAGCTCGCAGCGTCAGAGGCTGTGCCGGGCAGGAGTCGGGCTTTACGTTGTGCTGACCACAGCCACAGCCCATCGGTCCTTGTGAAGCGAAGTGAAGCCATACGTCGCCCTCGTGAAGCCATACGCCGCCCGCCGATGGCATTGAGACGGCCAAGGCGTCGGCTGCGTTCTCGGCAGCCGCCGGCGTCACTGGCTGTTGCGCTCAGCCCCAGAGGCGGGCGCGACGGCCGGCGGGGCGCTGCCGCGCCGCCGTGACCTGACCTGACCTGACCTTATCGTACACCGGCCACCTGAGCGCTGAGTCACAACGGCCCACTCGTAGTGGCCCTCGACCCGCCCGTGACATCGACGCACGGCGAGGGTGCATGGATTAGACGTGCCCGCTGTGGTGCTGATGTCACGGAGCGCCCCGGCAGCTGCTGCGTGGCGTGCCCTGACGGCTGACTCCGTGTCTGCCCCGACGGCTGGCTCCGTACATGACTCCGTGCCTGCCCCGACGGCTGACCGTGCCCGCCCCGACAGCTGGCTCCGTACATGGCTCCGTACGTGCCCTGACTGACTCCGTGCCTGCCCTAACGGCTGACTCCGTGCCTGCCCCGACGGCTGGCTCCGTACACGGCTCCGTACGTGCCCTGATGGCTGACTCCGTGCCTGCCCTAACGGCTGACTCCGTGCCTGCCCCGACGGCTGGCTCCGTACACGGCTCCGTACGTGCCCTGATGGCTGTCCGTGCCTGCCCTAACGGCTGACTCCGTGCCTGCCCCGACGGCTGGCCCCGTACATGGCTCCGTGCCTGCCCTGACGGCTGACTCGTGCCCGCCCCGACGGCTGGCTCCGTACATGGCTCCGTGCCTGCCCTGACGGCTGACTCCGTGCCCGCCCCGACGGCTGGCTCCGTACATGGCTCCGTGCCTGCCCTGACGGCTGACTCCGTGCCCGCCCCGACGGCTGGCTCCGTACATGGCTCCGTGCCTGCCCTGACGGCTGACTCCGTGCCTGCCCCGACGGCTGGCTCCGTACATGGCTCCGTGCCTGCCCTGACGGCTGACTCCGTGCCCGCCCCGACGGCTGGCTCCGTACATGGCTCCGTGCCTGCCCTGACGGCTGACTCCGTGCCTGCCCCGACGGCTGGCTCCGTACATGGCTCCATGCCTGCCCTGACGGCTGACTCCGTGCCTGCTCCGACGCTGGCTCCGTACATGACTCCGTGCCTGCCCTGACGGCTGACCCGTGCCTGCTCCGACGGCTGGCTCCGTACATGACTCCGTGCCTGCCCTGACGGCTGACTCCGTGCCTGCCCCGACGGCTGGCTCCGTACATGGCTCCATGCCTGCCCTGACGGCTGACTCCCTGCCTGCTCCGACGGCTGGCTCCGTACATGACTCCGTGCCTGCCCTGACGGCTGACTCCGTGCCTGCCCGACGGCTGGCTCCGTACATGGATCCGTGCCTGCCCCGACGGCTGGCTCCGTACATGACTCCGTGCCTGCCCCGACGGCTGGCTCCGTACATGACTCCGTGCCTGCCCTGACGGCTGACTCCGTGCATACCCCGACGGCTGGCTCCGTACATGGCTCCGTACGGGCCCTGACGGCTGGCTCCGTGCCTGCCCTGACGGCTGGCCCCGTCCCTGCCCTAACGGCTGACTCCGTGCGTGCCCCGACGGCTGGCTCCGTACATGGCTCCGTGCCTGCCCTAACGGCTGACTCCGTGCATGCCCCGACGGCTGGCTCCGTACATGGCTCCGTACGCGCCCTGATGGTTGGCTCCGTGCCCACCCTAACGGCTGACTCCGTCCCTACCCTAACGGCTGACTCCGTGCCCCGACGGCTGGCTCCGTACACGGCTCCGTACGTGCCCTGATGGTTGGCCCCGTGCCTACCCTAACGGCTGGCTCCGTCCCTGCCTAACGGCTGACTCCGTGCGTGCCCGCAGGCGAGATCGCCTGATGCTGGACCGGCCCCGGGCGGCCACCGTGGTGGCGCGCGGCCCTCTCAAGTGCGTCAAGCTGGACCGGGGCAGGTGAGAGAGGCGAGGTAGAGCGGCGGTCGCCGCGCCCGCCCGGCCGCTCGGCCGGCTGGTGACGAGCCCGCGCCGGGGTTAGGTCGGGCGGCAACGGAGGGAGTGGGCCGTCTGTCGGGTGTGTGCAGGCGTGCACGAGTGCGGCCCGTGTGTGCCGTGCGCTGAGAGTTGAGTGTATGTGCTCCGGTGTGTGACCGTTGAGAGAAGCGTTCCATGCGGCTATGTGCTCCTGATGTGTTTAGATAGTATGCGCTGCTGTAGCACATGCATGACATGTGCAATGTATGAGCTGTACGATAAATGCGGCTAGCTTTCTTAGTAAGACTTATTCCGGCGTTTTTATATTGAATTGATGGATTTCTGGGATCAGAGCACGCTCCTAGAAGGGTTCGTTGCGTGAGCCCTGGCCCAACCATCCGATGGTGGAACTCGACAGGTTACCGGCAGACTTGTAACGAAAGTTTAACGCCCCATGATACCCAACACGTGTCTGTCCTGCCCTAAGACGTCACCTGACCTTCAGCGCAGCCAGTCACAGGCTGCAGGTCATTCCAGTCATGGACAAATAGCTAGCACCCTGAAGTGCCCCAAACCCTTGCCGCGGGTGGGTGAGGCCAAAGATAGACCTTCAACGAATTGAGCCGTCGGGGCGAACAAATCAACCAACCTTCTGTTGATTTTGTTTGGTTGTCGTGACCGGCGGCCTGTAGAAGTAAGGTCTTAGTCGTGGCCGGCGGCCGCGGTCGTGTAAACTTCAGGGTTGATGTGCATAGTCCTTTGGAACGGGCCGCGAGTTACCGCACGTTTCATGCGGTGCGTTTGATGGTTTCGCGGTTATTTGGAGGCGGGGCTCAGTCTGGCAAAAGTGAAGCTCGACGCCATTGTGGACTGGCGATACACAGTTGAACTGCTCAGTGCTCAGCCCGACCTTCTGCACACCGCGTTGGAATGCTCGTCACGTTAGAGAGTTACCGAGTGAAATACCAGCTGATCAGTGATCGTGGAAGGAAGGATCGCCTCTCCAGCGGGCGGATCGCGGCCGTGCTGGGCGGCGGTCCGAGTCGACGCTCCCTCACACTCCTGTCCATTCCAGGTTCGAGCGCGTGCTGGGGCCCTGCGCCGACATCTTGAAGCGAAACATCACACAATACAACAGCTTCGTCTCCCTGACCGTGTAGTCCGGGGCGAAGCCGGCCGCTGGAGGAGGCGGGGAGGAGCGCGGGCGCGCGCGGCCGGGCCGGCAGCGGGCCCCCGGGAGCCGGCGCCGCCGCGGGCCCGGCCGGGCCCGGCCGCCGGCAGCCCGGCGCCGCACCGACGAACGACGCGCGAGCGCGAGGCGCTGCCGGGCGCGCGGGCCGACGCACCGCGGCGGACTCGGGCGGCGTGTGGCCCTTGGACGGGCGGAGCCGGGCGGCCCCGGCCAGGCGCCGCCACTTGTGGTCCGTGCTGCTCTGATCTGGCGACTGTGGGACGGCTACCGCCACAGGGTCGGAGGCAGCCGAAGACAGACCGTCCGCCAGTCCGGCGGCGCGAAGACCGACGCTCGCCGACCCGGAGGCGAGGACGGCGGGTTTCAACCAATCGCGAAGCCGGGTGGGAATGGATGCCGGTCTTCCACCAATAAGAGGGCCCCGAGGTGGGCTTTCCACCAATCCCGAGGTTCGATGCAGCTGATGTCAGTCGAGGGGATGCTGGGTGATAGTGTGTTACCGCGTATGTGCTTCTTACAATTAAGCTAGCGCGACTGTACTGAATATCGGTCAGTTTGGAGATAACCGAAAATAAAGCCAACTGGTTCCACGGCCAATATGTATTTCCCAAACAAATCCTGCCTGGAATGCTACAAAGCGCAGAGGGCTGCCGAGATCGTTGCTACAATGACCAATCATGACTACCATCGACTTGAACCAAACGTGACTAGACGGGTAAGTGACTCGCTCGAAAACAAAACTAGAGCACCGACGTCAGCATTCTTCAATCCTTAGAATGGAGTAAGCACAGCTCAGGATTGCAAAACTGCACAATTTCCTGACAATCTCATGCTTCGAGCCCACCATCGTTCGAGCTCTCGTTAAGAGCCTCGACTCGCAGTCCACGATATCACACGCAACCGATTTACTCCTTCGCGGCCGCCTCCCCACCTCGCTCCCTATGCCTCCCGCAATGACCCTGCGTTCCCTAGCGGACGGCCTCTTAGCGATGAGATCAGTAAAGCCTCCCATTGCGCCGGGTCCGTCCGCCGTCTGGTCCGGTCCGGTCCGGTCCGGGTCGCGCCGGCGAACCGGACGGCGGCCCGCCCGTCGTCACGTGGCCAGCGCTCTGACCAGAGCCGCGCGCCATCCGCCGCGGAGGCGAAACGGCCGAGGGCAGCAGGGCCAGCTACAGCTTCAGCAGCTCCTTGACGAAGCCGAGGCGCGCATCCAGCTCGGGCCGGTCCCGCAGCAGCTGGCGCACCAGCATGCGCACGCTCTTGTGTTTCTCGTCCACGCCATCCACCTGATGGCGGACCGATGGCGGTCAGGGACGGCCTGATGATGAACCGGCGGTGGTCAGGGACGGCCTGATGATGAACCGGCGGTGGTCAGGGACGGCCTGATGGTGGACCGGCGGTGGTCAGGGACGGCCTGGTGGTGGACTGGCAGCGGTCAGGGACGGCACAGACACTCGCTGTCGGCGGAAATGTGCCGCCGCGGAATGAAACACACAGAATGGACTGAACGAGACCAAAATACGCGTTTTGTTGACGGGCATGCGTCGCGGTGTGGCGTCGACGTTCTCGACGAACACTTTGCTGTGCTTCGTTCAACAGGCATAACGCAGGGTGTCCAGAAACATTGACGGTAAACCGAAGACTCTGCCAATCGAGGTACACACACACGACATCCCTCATGCATTATTCACAGCGTAGTGATGCGAAGCATGCTGAACCGAGAGTTTACGAAGCATTCGACCATCACACTACAATCACCATCCCTCCAGCTACATCACCGTCACCGTCACCGTCACCATCACCATCACCATCTTCAGCATCAGCACTGTGGCGGACCGACGGGTCATGTGGCGTGCAGAGCTAGATACGGGATAATTACGGTCAGATACCGGCTTCGCCCATTTGGCGGCGGCGCGTTTGGTGGCAAGCGCGACGCAGGCTCGCGTTCGTCACCTGGAACGCGAGCCTGTGTCCGAGTCTCTGCACGCCACGGCGGTTTATGACCACCGCAAGCCCCAGCACCGCACCTCCTCCAGCAGACGCGTCTTGGAGCGGATGATCGGGCTGTAGCGGCCCTCCATTACGCTCTGGTAGAACTTGGAGCTCTGCTGCTTCAGCACTATACGGCCCAGGTTCTGCGGCCGCCAGCACCGGTCAGCAGGTCAGGGGTCACACGACGCGCGCTTGGCTCAACAGCTGATTATCGTGACTCTGACGTTAGTGCCTCGCATGCAGTACACGTGGGGAGCGATTGTCGTTACCTGGAACGTAAGCCCGTGTCTGAGCCTGTCTCTGAGCCTGTGTCTGAGCCTGTGTCTGAGCCTGTGCCTGAGCCTGTGTCTGAGCCTGTGTCTGAGCCTGTGTGCCACGTTTGGGCGTGCGGTCGGGGCGCGCCACGGCGGTTTGTCGCCCGGCGGGAGAGAAGTGCCGATTTCCAACAGCGCACGCGAATACAGTAACATTCAAAAATATTCCACATTACCCAACGACGTCTGCAGAACGCGAGTGCGCACGTAACAAAACCCATGCCTTTTGGGCATAAACCCAAGCTGAGTGGCTCAAACTGGGATCCGCCCGGCCGCTGGAGCTGAGTCGGGGGTGCCTCGGCACCGCCCCGGCCGCTGGGGCCTGAGGCGGGGGTGCCTTGATACAATCCCGGCCGCTGGGGCCTGAGGCGGGGGTGCCTCGGCACCGCCCCGGCCGCTGGGGCCTGAGGCGGGGGTGCCTCAGTACCGCCCCGGCCGCTGGGGCCTGAGGCGGGGGTGCCTCGGTACCGCCCCGGCCGCTGGGGCCTGAGGCGGGGGTG